CGTTGAGCCAGTTGCTACGTTCCCCTATCCTCCTGCTGTAGTTGAAGAAATTAAAACTCCAATTGTAACTGAATACCACTACGACCTTCCTGCTGAAGAAATCGTGAAACCCTATTCTCCTACAATTCCTGTAGAAACTGTACAACCTGCTGTCATTGAGCCAGTTGCTACGTTTCCCTATCCTCCTGCTGTATTTGAAGAAATTAAAACTCCAATTGTAACAGAATACCACTACGACCTTCCTGCTGGAAAAATCGTGAAACCCTATCCTCCTGCAGTTCCTGTAGAAATTGTACAACCTGCTGTCGTTGAGCCAGTTGCTACGTTCCCTTATCCTCCTGCTGTTGTTGAGGAAACTCATCCGGTTATAACCGAATACAACTACAATATCCCTGCTGTAGAAATAGAAAAACCGTATCCTCCTCCTACTCCTTTGGTTACACAACCCATTGTAGCTGAACCAATTGCAACATTTCCCTATCCTCCAGCAGTGATTGAAGAAATTAAAACTCCATTTCTCCAATTTCCTGCTGTAAAAACCCTATATCCATACCCTCCCGCAGTAATAGACATCGCACAACCTGTGGTTAAAGAACATTTAGTGACGTATCCTTATCCTGCTGCGGTTCCTACTAAAGATGAACACATAAGAGAACCGCGAAAAATTGGAGAAACAGACAAAAAACATGCTGAAAGTTCAAACAAATAATTTTAATTGTTCGAAACTTAATCCTGCTGCTGTGAACCTCGAAACGTATGTATTGWGATTTGTGTTTTATAATTAAATTTTTAATAAATTAATTGTAAAAAAATGTCTAACTTTCCTTAAATTTTCCACAAAACTAATTCCGTGCATTCTTAAATAACCGTTTAAAATTTCATAATCACTAATTTGCATTCCAATTGATTACTTTACGAGAAGTTAATGAGAATATAATACTTCTGTTAAAAATGTATTATAAAGAAAATAGTTCTACTTTTACGTTCAAATGTGTTAGACAATGGTGAGTGTTTTGTAAATTATTTTACCGTTAACAACACCATAATTTTAGGTCCATTCAAGTGTACTATTTATAATTACTTCATGCTTTGTACATGCAGTATTTACATTTTATATACGCAGTGATGTACAAAATCGTAATAACTTTCTGATAACTACTGATCCTGCCACCATTACACCACACTCTACACTACCAATAGGACCACTCGCTGGTTTTGTGCAATTCTTACAATTTAATTTATATGTATTTGATAGGTTCATTCATGCATTACCATGATACTTATAAAAATATATTTCGTTAGTAGCAATTACATGTAAAAATACTTCCAAATATGTAATATTTATACATACAACTATCTCGGCTCAAAAGACAATAAAATTGGTCCATCTGGTTTGTTAATTAGAAGGGACTTGGAGTCTATTTCAGGCCCATTCCAGCTCAATTTATATTTTCTGGCCAACTATAAAATATAACAATTAACCAAATAAGTTACAAAAAAAGACAACAACCTTTAAAATTAAAATAACCATATTCTGCTCGGCAAATCTTCTTGCTATACATGACCTTTGCCCATGCCCGAACGGGATCACAAGATAAGGGTGCGTCTGGACATAGAAAGGATTATTTTTCATCCACCGTTCAGGCTTAAATAAATCAGGTTCAGGAAAATATTTCTCCAACCGACTCAAAACTTGATTTAAAGTCACTACAACTGTCTACAAAAAGAAAAAAATAACGGTAACTTATAAATCCCTTACCCCTGAAGGCACTTTGTACCCTGAAAAAACAACATCTGTAGTTAACTGTCGACCTACACCTATTGAAATAGGTCGCAATCTTAAAGATTCTTTCACAGCACATTTTGCATATTCTGCTTGTTTGTATTTTTCTACAGTTACAGGAGCTGTAGGGTTGGGAAGGAGACGACACGCCTCCTCATAAAGGGCATCTTGTGTTGAAGGGTTGGTTGCTAAGTGGTAAAGCAAGAAACTTGATGAATATGTGGTCTAAAATGGGATTTGAGACAAGAGAAACTACTGGAATTGTATTTACAGTGTCCATTCCTGCCAACAAAAAATCGCAAACTACTCCTATAATATCTTTGAAATCAAGAGACGCAGATGCTAGATATCTCTCAAGTAAAGTTGGGAGACTTGAGGTTTTTTCCTTAAAAGTTGATAATTTCAAAGCCACCAAATCAATTGCAACACTTAAAAACAATTTTAAATAAAGGATATTTTAGGAATCGGATAAAACCTCTCCATTAATTCCTGCGCTTTTCTCAATCTTCTGTAGGCAGGAGTTTCAAATTTTCGCCACAATTGAGGCCCGTTATCCGTCTTTAAAATTGTACTATTGGTAACAAAAGCTGATTCTAATAGTTTTGTACTTTTGGAACTCGGATCTAATTCGTCCTCGTGAAAACTATGAAATCTTATATCAAAAGCCGCAACGCCAATCACTAAAACATTATAATTTCCAAATCGATAAAACTAATTTAATTAATTCTCACGCTCCAAAAATAACCTTGAGAGTTCTTGGAGAAAATCCATATTTGACGACTCTTTGTAAATGTTCTTAAGTCGAGTGTCTATCCACTCAGATATGACGTCATCTGAGCCTTTGATAAAACTAAGAGCCTCAGTTGGGCCAGAGAGACCTTTTTGAAACACTTTTCTAATCCTTGACCACTCTGGACCATTCCTATTGTTACAATATAATTAAAAAAAAAATAGAAAGATAGTTAATGGAGACTCACGTTGGGAGCAAACCACCTGAATTGTAAATGTGGGGCCTATCTAATCTGTATTTCTCTAAAGTGAGATGACTTCTTCTGCAGGGATAGGTACCTTCAGTGTGAAACATTTTCGCAATATCGTCGGGGTCCCCAAGCCAGACAATATGTTCCCCTGGCACAATCTCTTCTCTAATAATTGGTCCATAAAGTTGGTAGTTCTTGAGAGCGTTTTTGTGTAATCTATCAAACTGGTATCGACCTAAATTAAGTTTTTTTTTCGTTTAATATGTAAATCATTACGAGTTTTGCTTACCTATAAAGGGAAAATAAAGATATAGAGTACCTACCAACGGAAGCGATAGTGGTCCTGGAATTTCTTTAAAGCTTTTTGGTTGATCAACAACAGTACTTAAAAACTTTCCACGATAATAGTAATTTCTTGTTCTTATTGTTAAGAGATAATGAACACTTTTTTTACTGAATAAACACATCTTAACTGATAAAAATAATTGGCACTTAATGAATGTAAAAAGTAAAAAATTGAGATATTTCTTGATGGTATTTTTAACACATTGATTGATTTACATATGTTCGAAATTTGGTCGAGTTACAAAGCCGGGTCAAATTCGGAATAAAGAATAAAAAGAAAAACATGTTAAAATCATACATAATGGAGAGGGGGCATGCATATTTTAAAGTAATATAAACAAATGCATTCACATATATCAACAACAACATATAAATAATAATAACCGAGTTGCAAAGTTTTCACAGAATCAATATATTCCAATAAAGTTCAACAATAATAAAATTAACACAAAAATTAATAAAAATTTGGAGGTTGAAGTTTTGAACTCCAACCGAGGCGACCTCTRATCGACTTTAAGCACGATAAAAAAGCGCGTAGTTCAATTTGTTTAATAGTCAAGTCCACGGTAGAAAATTACAAAACATTATGGTCCCAATAAAAAAATATCCTAGAAAATAACCTAATATAAATAATTCGCTATTGTTACATTTTTTAGTAATAAAAGTTTTAAATAAATTAACATCAGTAATATAATATGAAGAAAACCAATAAATCACAGGGCTTGCTGAACATAACATGCGGGTGGTCACTTGAACATGGATATTTAAAACACAAAAAAGCGTTAAAACAGTAACATGTATAATAAATACTATCATAATAGGAAAAAAAGTGGTTTTACTCGGTACCSGTTTTGAGAAAATTAAGTCAAAGTTAAATAATGTACTAATTGATTTAGGAAATTGTTTAAAAAATTGAAACGCGTGTCCTAATAAAATTAAAATAATTGGGCTTGCTAATAAAAAATTAGGAATTTGTTTAAATTCATAATACTGAAGAAATCCCACTTTCCAATAGTGAGACTGAATGTAAGAATATGCTAAAGGAATTTTATTGTAACACCAGGAATGATTATGTTTCGATAACGTCCCTGGTAGTACAAAATTATCAATATCTTTATGGCCCAATACAAGTGGGGCTAAATCACTTTTAAAATTTTTACAAAATGTTTCATAGGAATACACTTGGAAATAAATAAATGGCACTAAACAAATTAAAACTAAAACAGTTACTGTAATAATAAATTTAACAACACACAATAAGCGGTTAAATATTTGTTTTTTCAATTTCATTTTTTTAAGACACAAACAAATTAACGCATAGACTAAAAATCCAATATTTAGAACTCCATTTGACCTTGTACATGTACTGAGACAAATTGGAATAATGTATATGAAATCTTTGACTTGTAAATAACCCTTACTACTGTATTTTTTATACAAGAGAATCGAATTTAGCATGGATTTAAATGTTAAGTAACAAAATAGTGATTCTGTATATGGTGCTGTGAAAAATATAGAGGCGGGATTGTAACAGAACAAAATAGTGGCTTTCAAAGCCAAATCCTCGTTAAGTATAAAAAGTGATAATTGATAAAGGCACAATGCTGACTGTAAGAAACAAAAAATATTGATAGCAATAAATGTGATGAGAGTCAATGAATCTGTTGAGAGAAACGGAATTAAATTGCTTAAAATTGCGACAAATAGATTTGCTAAATATGGATAAAGCGGGAAAAATGCTAAAGTATGTTCATAAGTGTAGCCAAATATTGATATATGCATGAAATGATGGGCGTCCCATCTCACAAAACCTCCCAATAAATGAATGACTAGTTTATCAAATATTCCGTTTTGTTCAATTTTTGGATAGATGTAAGCGTCGGCTTCGTGGTCAGGTATCAGTAAATTTGAGACGTACTGAACGAAGATAAGTGAAATGCGTGAGGTAAGAGCTGTTTTCAATATAACCTCTCTTTCAGACATTTTGTTCTAAAACAAATAATGTAGTTTTACATTAAATTTAACGGCAAATTACCATTTCTGTAACATCWTACATGCATTYCCTAGTTTCCTTCTTTAATTTTCTTATTGTCTTATTGAATGAAATAAAATAAATTTGAATACACTTTGACAGGAATCATTTTTGACAATTCAGTGGAACTAACGCTAACTAAAGCCGAAAACAACCCTAGCCGAAATAAACACTGTATTACTGGTTGCATATAATATGTATAYCAAGGAGAAAACCAGAAAATGTAAAAAATAATRCGTGATATTAAAAAGTTATGCTTTTAACTTGTACTTAAAATTTATTATTTTAATTAAACATTTTTATAGTTTAATGCACCAATAGCATTAACTAATTGTAATAATAACACAAAAAAATAACAATTTCACAATTCGGTTTTATCTGGTGCAATAATAAGTTGTTGAAAACCGTCAAAACGTAAGAAAAAAGCTTTGACAGAAAAATTCGATCAAACCAAATATAATTTACCAAAATGTAAACAAAATTTTATTACTCTGAATTGCTTGCACAAACCCATAAACTAAAGTTGTCATAAATCGGATATAATTATCTTGTAATCAATAATATACGTAGTTATTAAAAAAAAACCTTTTTTATTACTTGCTATATTATGTCTTGTTGTGCAAATTACCTTAAAAATTGATATACCTCTAATTTCTAATTTTAATAAACTCTGAAATATTTTTTTTTATTTTGTGTTGCAGATATATGTTATATTTTTATTCCCTACACGTGCCACATTTTTTTAGTTGGTGTTCATAATGCGATCTTTTAGAGAGGGATGAATCAGAAAATCTTTATGGTAATAAAGTTTAATATGAATTCTGTGCCAAATGGCAGTATTAAGCGATTCATCCCTGAATGTTTCTAATTTAATGTTCCAAATAACAATAAAAGATAAAGCAAAGAAGAAGTTCATTATGGGTTTTATAAATATTTCCTTCACAAACATAGAAATCAAATTGTAAAGAAAAACAAATAAACTCAATCGTTTCATTAGTTAGCTAACTTTCTAATAAACCAAATAAAGTTAGCGAAATATTGATTAAATTGAAAAGTTTGCTTAAATCATTAAGCATCATAATGCGCCAAATTTAATTCAACTGAATACAAATCCAAATCTATGTCAACTTTACAAACTTCTTAATGAAACACCCCCTTGTTTGAATAGAGTAAATCAATTCATCTTTAGTTCATTAATGAAAAAAATACATCAAAACTCTTTTAGTGTTTCTTAAACGGATGTGATCACTATTGAGATTCTTACATGGTGTTTTGATATTTACAAAAGGGTTTCTTTAATTAATTTGGTGGGCGGAGGTTGGTTGGAGAGGTTTGTCAATTACTCGGCCGGACTTTACTATAAAAGCTCGATGTTGTTCTTCACAAAACGGCATTCAGTCGACAGCTTCCAAACTTGAAGTGCAGTTAAAATATAATCTCATTGATAAAATGCATCGAGTGTTGTTAACTGTTCTCATAATCACTTTTGTGAGTTTATGTGCTGCCCAGTTAAATTTTACACCTAATTGGGGAAAACGCACACCGACCGAAGGCGAATCCAACAGATGCAAGGAATCCGTGGACACTATTATGCTTATATACAAAATTATTCAGGTATTTGGTATTTATCAAAAAAAAAAAATTGTTTTACTTGTTTTTTGTTTCAGAACGAGGCGCAGAAACTAGTGGATTGTGAGAAGTATTCAAACTAACATGAATTGAAACGATTTATTTTATGCCCATGTGTGAATTTAATTATTTAGTGTTACTTATTTATTTATTCTTGAAATATAATAGAAAATGTGGTCAATAAATATACTGAGTTTATTATAMATTATAAATATAAATTGTAATTATCAAAATGTAGTGTAAATTTTCTAATAATAATAATAAGCATGTTAAAAAGCCACTGAATTTGTGTCAAAAATTAAATAAAGTGAAATAGATGACATCACAAATAGAGTATTTTTTATTCTACAAATAAATTGTGTCACAATAAAGACAAAATATCAGTTTACAAAACATTTAAAACCAACAGTAACTATTTATATAAAAAATTTATAGTAAAATGCAATAACAAATACAGGATGATTCTTAAATAGACCGACAAAATTTTATACTTGGTAGTATCAAATGCTGAAAAAAATATTTAAAAAATTCTTTGTTTAACCGTTCTCCAAATAAAATTTATTAAGTTATTTTTGAGGTAAAGCGTACCCCACTGAAGTGTTCGAAAATAGTACACTGGCGGACACCGAATTTTGCACGATTTGTCATCCGACTGACATAAAAATGCAAAACGGGCTTTAGGCAATTAACCTCACTTTCGGTTTTTCTAATTTTTATCCTCAGAGCGAAAGAAAAAATGACAACAAATCAAAATACTTCATTGATCTTATATAAAAACACGTATTGCTGGCATTATTGTTTTGGAAAATAGACGGCAAAAATAAATTTCAACTAAAACTTTCAAATTTTAGTTTCAAACGTCAATCACAATGACAATAAAGCGTGGCTTACATTGACATTTTTTGAACTATCATAAATGTGATGTACACATTTCCATCTAAAGTGTGGAATAAAGGCTCTTTATAAAGTGATTGTGGATAAACAATCTTTATCGTCGTGTGTAATATTTCGTTTTATTTTGTACTCACCTACATACCAGAATTTCTTGTGTCTGGTTAATGAATACACTGGTCAAAGTGGGGTAGATAAAAATTACTTTATTTCACTAGATAATAAAAGAGTACTTAATCTATTGAAAGAATATAAACAATAGATAACAATTACAAAAAAAAGATATTGAAAATATGATGAGTTGCTTTTAAAAAATACAACATCCAAGTGTGTCTTGTGTTATCGAATAGAATTTTAGGTAAACCGTATTTTTCCACATTTCAACATAATAAATTAGCTTAAACTTTTTATTTACTTTTCTGAATTTTACAAAAAAAGTTGTAAAAAAGGATTAAAATTTAAAAAAAACCGTTTTGTGAATAAAATACCAAAGTACCTACTTTTAAACTTCGCTGCATTATTTTATGTGTAAAAAACTAATTTTATTGAAATAATTCTTGATGACTAAGAAGTAATCCCATAAACTTTTCGGTCATACTAGCAGTAGGCCACACGTCTGTCTGCATTTAAGGACATCAGTTCAAACGTAGGATTAAATCAAAATAACTACTACAAGTCACAAAGAAGGAGTCTGTGTTTATATTTTTTAATAATAATCTTTAAACAATTGGAAAGACTATGGAAGAACAAATTTTATCGGAATCGGAAATAAAAATCGAAGAAGAAGAAATCAATGAAGATTGTGACAGGTAACTTCTGGAACTCTATCTACTATGTGGATGATTTTTGCATTATTGCAGTAATAATGAGAGAAAAAAGATTAAAAARTYATTAAAATACAAAAAGCCTCGAAGGGGCAGGCCGCCAGCAAACGCGAAACATGAAAAAGTCCTGTCGCCACCATCTGATCACACTGACAAGTCATGGAAAGAATATCTAAAATTAGAAAACAGTCTAGAGACATATTATTGTACACAGTGTTCTTTTGAAACAAAGTGGAAATGTTATTTAAAAAATCACGTTAAAAAAATCCACTCATCGCCTGAAGAGGCTAGAATTTATAATTGCCTGCAATGTAAATTTACAACCAAATGGAAATTTAGTCTCAATAATCATATGAAAGTGCACAGTCCTCCTGGTACTATTAAGATGCATAAGTGTTCCAAATGCAACTACCAGACAAAATGGACTAATGGACTTAGTAGTCACATGAAAGTACACATGCTTCCCAAAGTAATGAAAGTCAATATTTATAAATGCAATGAATGTGATTTTGAATGTAAGAATAAGTTAGACTTGGCACATCATGAAAAGATGGATCATAATCCGTTGCAGACGGTGTATAAATGCCCTTTGTGTTCGTTTCAGACCAAGTTTAGACATGGAGTAAACAAACACGTAAAAGTTCATAATACAGTCAAATTAAATAATACATAATTAAGAAAAAAAGAGAAACGTTTCTAGTCACATAGCTTGTCATTATTACCTCAATTTTTGTTGTATTTTTGCTTAGTGTATTTATTTAAAATAAAGCTTTGATATTGTTATACAAATTTTTGAATGAATTATTACCTAATACTCAAAAACAATGAAACAGTTTTAATTTTATTTTTTATATCTACAAAGTAATAACAATTTTTCCTCTCAAATGTCCCTTATTCAGTTCCTGGAAAGCTTCTGGTAAATTTTCAAATTTAAACTGCTTATGAATCATAGGTGTGATCTAAAAAATACAATAAAAAAACTAAAGCAATTTCTTTAGTTACGTACTTGTCCATTCTTAATTAATTTATTAATAAATTGAAATCCGCTGCCAGAAGGCACAAAAAAACCCCACATGAGACATCTTTTTTCAMCAGGTGGTTTAAAATTATGAGTCAAAAAAGTCGCAGCGCTATTTAATAACCCCCCTATTAACCCATATCTATCTGTATTTAAAAGTAAGGGCGAGTTTAGTGTAATATATGTTCCGAATTTCCACGTTTTTGGTACATTTTCATAGCCAAATTTCGCACAGTCAAGTATGATGTGATAACTAAAATCTAAAGTTATCACATTGTAAAAAATTTGAAATAACTTACTATCCTCCAGTCTCAACATTTTTTAAATAATCTGGATCTTTGTAATCAAAAACGCAATCGGCACCTAAAGACCTAACCAGCGGCACAGCATCAGTTGAACAAGACCCATACACCTAAATTGCAAAAAATAATGAAAAGTTCAACATTGGAATTTTCATACAATGGAGTCTTGGGACTTTAATAACTGTACAGCTGCCGTGCCTACGCCTCCAGAAGCCCCCAAAATTAAGACCCGGGTACCTCTAGCACCTTTCACCAACAAATTGCCAAAAAGAAAAAGTGCAGACCATGCTGTCATTGTTGCATAGACCAAAGACGCACTTTCGGCTTCATTCAAACCTTTAGGTTTCTTACAAATCTAAGAAAAAATATCATTGATATGTCTTGCATCAAAAAACAGCTTACGTGTGCTTTATTGGCAACTACAACTTCAGAAAAACTGCCTTGCTTATGAATGGGTATAAAACCAAAAACTTTATCTCCAACACTAAATGAGCTGCCAACATCATGACCTTTATAAATAATAGTCCCACAAAAATCACGCCCTAATACTAGGGGAAGTTCCATTTCAAATTTTCGAGGAATTTGAAACAATGTCCTTCCATAACCACCTAAATGGTGTTGATTAGTGGATTATAGTACATATTGAAAAAGTATTAAACCTAGCATTAAGTTATCTATTGGATTCAGAGAAGCCGCTTCCACATTAACTAAAACTTCGTCCGATTGCCGGATTTGTGGAATACGAATCTTTCCAAATTGGAGCTCACTTACGTCCCCATAAGAATGCACTTGCCAAGCATTTGCTTTATTCTGTTCTCGTAGCTTTACTCTTACTGCGTTTGTACTTACAGCACGACACTCTTTTAAAGCAAAAATAACTGTCTTGTTCATAATTTTTTGCAACATTTTTGACGTTTATTAGTTAGGTTATATTTTGTACATTTGAACTACCTAGCATGGCCATTAAGTCTGCAACCGGTTATACAGCAACCKCCAAATTTAATTTAACAAGGCAATGGTTATTKTTCATTCCTGGTTCATTTTAGTACTCGTACTGGTATATATTTTGTAACTAGTGTAAGGTTGTTAAAGGCAATCAGAAAACATTTTTTGTATAATATTTTAATAAAAAATGTAAATTACTATTTATTTAGCAAACATTTTACTGTGGAAGACCATAGACCGGCTGTGGCACAATAGGCGCTGGAATTTCTTGCACAACCACTTTATCAACCACTTGAGGAATGTTGTAATCGTAGCTGATTACAACAGGTTTCTGGGGAACTGATACTACTTCAGGGACAGCAGGAACAAAAGGAGCTGCTTCAACAACACCAGGATGAACTACAGGAGCGGCTTCAACAAAAGTTGGGAAAGCAGGAGCCGGAACGGTGAAATTATACGAAGACACCAAAACTTGACCGGCGGCAAAATCAGCAAGTGGCCTATGCAATTCCGGTGTCACCGGAGCTGGAGCACTGTAGGCAAAATGAGGGGCAGTCACGTGGGGGTATGAATAAGCATAAGAGAACGGTGCTGGAGCAATTTGTTCTTCGGGGGCGACAAAAATAGGGGCGTGGATTTGTGGGGGTGCGAAAATTTCATTTCCGGGTAAAGGAGCGGGGTAACTGGGGGCATAATTGAGGAAAACTGATGGGTTGCTGTAGAAGTGATGTAGTGGTGGCCAGGCAGAGTATGGGTGTGCAAAGGGTGGCACGAATGGAGGCACAAAGGGTGGCACAAAGGGGTGTGATGGTACTTCAACCACGGGGGCCGTAGGGGCGAGAGATACGACGGGTTTGGGTTCTTCTGTCGCTACCGGGGTTGCAGGAACTACGATTTCTTCATGGTGAAGTTCGACGGGTTGGACGGCAGGGATGGTGTAAGTGTATTCAGATGTAATGGGGGTGATGACGGGTTTTGGCTCTTCAGGAACTCCGTAGACGACTGAGGGTACCACGGGTTCGGGGAGAGGGTAGAGGGCATTGCAGCCGACGGCAAAAGCGAAGACTATGGCAATTATCTGAAATATTTGATATTTTTGTTTTACTGATAAAAATTTGAATATAGCGTTTTGGAACTTACCGATTTCATTGTGTCTTCAATTTGGGTCTGTTTGTAAATTGGAACCGATTTGCTTTTATAGCATTTTTGTTTGCCAAGGGCTAAAATAACTACTTTCGAACTATTTTGATCATAATCTGATGAGTCGTTAAAGTTGTTGTTGTAATGAGTTTAACAAATAACTACCGTTTTTTAATTTCCTTTATTTYACATTGGAAGTGTGGTGATAATAAATAAAAAATTACATTTAAATTGATTTTTGAATTTTTTAAATAATTGAAGTTAATTTTTTAATTTTTAAACATGTGTAAGATTAAATCGTATTAAAGTTGTGAAAAAAATCTGCTTAAAATAAGTAAAAATAATAAAGATACAACACAGGAGAAAAAATGTTGTTTTATTAATATTTTTCTCATAGCAAAAAGTTAGTTGCACATTTATTGAGTGTTTGCTTTAAATATTAAAATTCTTTGGTAGCAGCCGTCAAAAGAACAAAGCTTTAATATGCAAACATTCGTGACTATGCCTATGTCTTTAGGGCGGTGTTGGTAAATGAGACGACACATCCCATCCTATTTGCATCTATTGCATAAAATAAATTTTGTCGCTCCGACACATACCACCCATTTCAGCTCACTTTCAGCTTGTTAATTATCACCTTGACCGATGCATTAAACAATTCTATCTTGGTTCCAGGTCAATAAATATACGCATACAATGGTACAATATCTCACAAAATTTGCTAAGATCCGTTTACGTTTTTCGCCACTGAATCGAAGGAATACCTCTTTATGTTTGTCGTTTGTCGCCATTATTTAAGAAAACATAAAGCTCTCATTTTGTAACACAAACTCAAAGAAAAAAGTCACACAATTTCTAATTCTTCGATTATCAATCGCAGATTATGAAACCGTGGCGTAAAAAAATTATTGCATTATGCTTGTAATATTTATGACTACAGGTTTGAAAAAAAATATAACAAAGAAGGAAAGATTATTTTGATAAGGCCAACATATCGATAAAATGGCCTCTTCATGATAGATCAAGTTAAACAAGGGCGTTATAAATTTACAAGACGTATCATTTGCTCCGCATAAATTATTATAACTTACACTTTCACGACAAATTGTATTTACAAGAGTATTACACAGCGTAAAGTTTGTAGTGGTGTTCGAATATAGTCAATGCAAATCCAATGTAATTTATGAAACTACAGGATCAAAGAATGTTAAATAACCATTGCTATTCAATGATAATTAAATAAGTGCGCTTTTTGTGTAAGTATCATCAAAAGATGTCATTTTACCATTCCTTATGTAATACCAGAAATGATATCATAACAATGGTCCCAAGTGACACAATTGTCAATGAATTGTCACAATTGTTCAAGACAGAAAAATCTGATATTGGGTAAAACAATAATAAGTAATTTGTTGAAATTTCCATAATAACGTAATGATTGTATGAAAATTATAGTCACATCAAGTAAAACTATAATTATATAAGAGTTTACAATTAATTTATAATCCTCGCTTTTAATAAATCTAGAGATAATCCGGGTCATTCAATTTCTGATAAATGCTTGAGAATGCAAGTTTTTGACTGTTACATTACATCACTTAAATTCTAATTAATTTACACAATAATGAGTAATGACTGTTGTTTATAAATTTTAGGTACTATTAGATGCAACTGAGAAGAATACCTACAATTCTGTTTTTTATTGATATGTAATTGAGATAAGTATAGGTGGTGCTACTAAATTGATCAGGATCTTGCCATTTATTTTCGAGCGCACTATTTTACGTAGGATGTAATTTAAATAATCATCAGTCTAATGGGTTAAAAAAAATCTAGTAGGGCTAGTTCCGGATAGCGTTTTTATTCAAGGAAACTACCCACTTTTCTAACGAGGATGACATTTGATGTAATAGGCAACTTGTCTGACTCATGTTAAAAACAATTTATCAATTTATACATAATTAGGTTCAGGTTTTTGAATAACAAAGATGCAGCTGGTACATCCAGGTCGTGCATTCATGTGGGTTTTGACCAATCATGAAAAAAATCATTGTTCGAAAGTGATCTTAATCGACATGGTCGTTGGTCTTTGCGGATACCGGATTTGTTTCTAGATTTATCAATAAAATTGGATCTGAAACGGATGTTCTGTATAAGGAAAATAGTCATTTGGTTTCCCAAACCGACGGAAAGGCCACATCTTTACCAATCTCTCGCTTTCTTGGAATTTTCTTCGATTCGGATTTTGCAACACTTGCCATTAAACGTTTTTTAAGTGTTCATCACGTTTATTCAAGTTTTTCTTCTCCAGGATGCGTAAAAATTAAAAACAAGCTTGGATGATGAATATTAACGAAATACATTTATTGTTTCATTGTGTAACTGAATTTTTGAAAATTGGAATACATGTATCATCTTAAAACAACTTATAAATATTAAAATACGCCTTCAAGGTGAATTTGTACATCTTTAAAGATTTGCGTTTCCATTTAAAGAAATTTTTGTGTGTTCACACGTAATACGAAGACTACGCTACATTTTTTATGTTTTGTATAAATATTCTCCAAGAATATGTAATCTAAATCTTTGTGTTGCAACAATTTTGTTTAAAAATAATTAGACGTTTTTTTGGGTTGGGTAATGCTATTTATAATTTCGCTGCTTTCAACACTTTCTTTACGTTTTCAGCGATTGAGATCTCAAATCATAAACTAGACCTTCAGGTTATAGAACAATTGCTATTATTTCGATTTTGTAACCTCAAGGACGACGGTAACGTAATTGAGTTTTCGTCGAAAGTGATCTAATATAATTTGGTAAAAGAAGAAAAATACGCAATGTGAAAATGTGTTAATTAAAATATTAAAAATATTTGTTTTTACATTTTGCCAAAATTTTTTAAATCAAAAACAAGGTTTGGGCAATATTAGTGAAGGTATTTTCAAATGCTTATCAGGAAGAATAAAAGCATCGACAAGAATGTCTTTACTGGTGTTACAATTTTGAGAAAACCTTTTTTAAATCACATAAACTAATAGCAGCTGCAAATATTATTTTAAAAGTAAGATGGTATAATAATATTTTTGAATAAATTTTATTTTATTAAA